ACTCTGCAATGGTCACCTGCGCAGCCCTGGCAGATAATGGCTGCGACAGAGGTCCAGTGGCGGTTACGCCCGATTTGACAAGAACACTCATATTTAAGATTCCCCTAGTTGAAGGGAAAAGCTCTCTCGAATATCTTGAGTATCTTATCTTGAATATCTCGAACTTACTTGAACTTTCTCTCGAGCTAACTCAGTGATCTAGCGCGACCTACACTCTTAGCCTTCTTTGCACTCATTACTACTTTCTCCAGCGTTCTAACTTAAGCATCGGAGTATTCCCACCGAGCAAGTCCCCCGGGAATCCTTCACTGTCTTCTTCTTAGGTACCGTCCGTCACCAGTCAGCTACCAGGTAGGAGTGCCCGGATTGCACAGCATCAAGGCTTTTGTATTTGCAAAAAGCATGGCTTGAGTTTCTAGAGAGTAAAAAACCTATAAGTTCATTGTTGCCTCACAACTCTGCGTGTGCGTGTTGTTGTAGTCATGGAGACTGCTAGAACGGTGAAGGATGTTTTGCCTCATGAGTTCGTGAAGACGTTCACTACTCATCTCAAACGATGGGGAAGATGGAGCTTCCTCGCTTATTGGATTGATATATTGTGAAACACCATCCTGCCTGTGTAATGCCGGATGGTTTCTAAATTTGTAGCTATACCAAATGGTCTATACACTTGTGAGAATCATACAAAACCTTGTGATTTATCAGGTTCTAGGTGCATTTGAATGGTGTAATTACAATTATATCATATGGGGGATAAATGTTTGCATCTATAAATGATGTTCCAAAACTGTAAGCAATCATCTGTTTTTTCTTTTTTTTTTCAATGTTGGATTGTTTTTAAGTATGTAGTACACTATTTGGTCTTCCCCATACTGGATGGTGTATGCACCTATGATTATCATATATAACTATGTGGTCAGTTTGGTTTTAAAGGAATTTGAGTGTGTTAGATCACATGTGTAATTGATGATTGTAACTATAATTGATGACTCAAAATTGTGGCCAACCATCTGTCTTGTATAATGTCGAATGGTTTATTATTTTATAAAACACCATCCGGTCTCCACTATACCAGATGGTTTGTGCAGTTAGAATCATATAAAACCTTGTAGCCTGTCGGGTTTTAGATGAATTTGTGAGTGTAAATACTATTTTTTTTCACTTGAGTGATAGATATACAACCACAATTGATGATTCAAAACTGCAAGCAACCATCTAATCTTTGTAAAATCAAATAGTTGCCAAGCCTATAAAACACCATTCGGTCTATTTGTTGTTGGGTGATGCTTAGATTTTTTCCCCTTTGAAGCACTGCCTGTTGTCAAGTTGTCAACCAAGTGCCTAAATTTTTTTCCACGCAATAATGCATATGTGAAGTGATTTCTTGTACCAAAGTTTTAGTAATTTGTTTGACCTATATTGACGCCATTTCTTAGATTTTTGCAAGAATTTATGCTAAAAGTGGAATCAAACAAAGGTGGTTTTTACCAATGAATTCATGTCAGATGAGACCTCTATCAATACAAGATGATGTGGGATTTATATTCCATTAAGAAGTTAGAAATAATGAACACACAGAAAGAAAGAGAGAATGCCCTCAATAGCGAAACATGTTATTTCAAAGAAAATGGTCCTTTAAACATATAGAGGTGAGCTAAGAACCAATAGAGGCATGGAATGGCACAAACTTTTGCTTTCGTTCTTTTAAATTGAGATGCCAATAGAGGCATGAAGTAGGTTTGCTTATGGGAGAGATGGATTGGATATTGGGGGAGAGATGTGTAGGAAATAGTGAGAAGAATCCTCTGAGGAAAGAGAGAGAGAGGTGGGCATTTCAACTAGGGGCAATTTGGTCTTAGTAAAGACTTTTTTCTTCAAGCTATCTGCTTTTACAATTTATTTTGAAATGTATCTGATTTTTCCAATTCAACAAACTTTGTTAATTTTTATGCAAAAGGCCCTTTTTAATTTTGGCAGACTTTGGGATCCTAGAAATGCCATCATCTTCAAACAAAAGGATCCAAACCCAATTCATGTCCTTAATAGAGCAAACAACTATCACCAATTAATATTAAATCCTACACCAGAATTGGGTTTGACAGGCCTAAACTTATCTGTGGATCTGCAGCCCTTGTTAAATGCAAAATTTCCCCTAATTCTGGTTGATAGGTCATGGGACACAAACACTCAATCTGCTTTTACTAGTCCGTTCTTGTTATCTAGTCACTTTTACTGGTCTGTTCTTGTTATCTTGTCATTTTATTGCAGAGGGACAGCCTTGCCCAGCCAACTCCCCAACACCACCCAACATCAGTTGAGCTCTGGGCAATTATAAGAGGTCTTCAAAAGCTTCGCAACTTGGGCTATTTACATGTTTTTTTGCTATCTGATGCTAAGCATGCTCTTTTGAACCCGAAGGGAATTGATAGAAACTTCAACTGGGATGTCCAACCTCTCTACGATCATCTCCATTATCTCCTATCTCCTTTTGTAAACATCAAACTCACATATGTTAACAGATCTGTTGTAAGGCCAGCTCATAGTATGGCCAAACAAGCTAGGCTTTTTAAATCTTATGTTTTTTACACTCGCCCCCTTCTTCCTTTCTCTCATTTTTGAACTCATCTGACGGGGATGATTCTATATCCTTGATGTTTTTAGTGGTTCCCTTTAAAAGAAAAAATAGAAGTAAGAAAATAAACTATTCATTTTAGGTGTTATAATACAAAGTAAGAAACTAGAAAAAAATAAGTCAAATGTATTTTGATCTTAGGTTAGTATTCTGTGTTTGAATGCTAACAAATGCACTACAATCTATTCTTGTATTTTGGAGTTGTGCAACTTAAATTGGCCAAGTGTGGACAGATTTCATGTGAAGTAAAATGTTTGTTTAATAAGAAGTATATCTGTTCAAGTCTTTGTTAAAAGGCTAATTGTTGGCTTATCTATAGGACTTTGCTTTGATATTAATTCTTTATTTTCATTTTGATTTTGAATAATTTCAGTTTCTTTATAATATCTAGGATTCATGGTGGAACCCAGTTGAGGAGCAGAATTCACCACATTGGACAAAAACGCATAAGAAGATTTGTTGTTAATGTAAGGTTATTGTCTCTTAATTTTCTATTGTAATCTACCTATAAAAAAGAACGTTACGAGATTTAATACTTAAATTAGTTTTGGGCCCGTTTGTTTTCACTGACATGGGTAAGTGAGTTTACCCGGGCAAGTGTTTCTTAATTAAGTAAAATTTGTCTAGGTAAGTTCTTCTAGCATTTTTATGCAATATAAGTTACCCAAGTAAAAAGAGAGGCGGGAGGGAAAAAGCGTTATTAGCTCACATGTAAGTTGCTTACCCACTCTCCAAAAGGGTGGAACCCTTACTGTGGAACCCATAATAGCAACAAATGGACACAGGGATTGTGATCAATTATCCAATTGACCAATTTATCACTCGTTAAACACTGACAAACAAGTGAGCCCTTAGTGTTTCTCAATAATAAATCTATACTAAAATACCCCAATTTTTGAATTTGGTCATTCACTAATTTTAAGGTAAAAAATGTAATTTAAACAACCGGATTTCTCATCATTTAAACCCATCTTATTACATTTTATATTGACGGTATTAAGTCTCACTAACATTCATTGAATCCTATTCTTGACTAAAATACTCCTATTTTTGAATTTTGTTTATCTTTAATTTTAAGGGCACAAAATATAATTTTAACTATTACATTATCCTCATTCAATTCCCTCTCATTAAGTCATATATTTAGGTTATGTTTGATTTGAAGGAAAAGGTAGGGAAAAGAAGGGAAAGACAGGAAAACCAATACGAGGTTTGTAAAGGTTTCCCTACCTTTCCCTTATTTTCCCTAAATTTTCCTTCAAACCAATCAGTCTTAGAGTATTAACTCCCATTCTTTTGTTAAATTCTATATTAATTAACCATATTAAAAGAATAAGTATGTCAAAGAATAATTGTTTTTATTGATGATAAAAATAAAATACAAATTTAAAACCAACCCAAAAATGGAGTTATTTCTGCCTTTGGTGTCGAGTTAACAATTCTAACCTTTTTGGTCAAATGTGTGAACCCTTGGTGTTATAATTAAATAATAAAAAAAATTAAAAAAAAATGAAAACACAAAAAGTACAAAAAAATTGTAGAAAGAATTTGGACATATTCGTCATTTTAAACAAAAAATAAATGTGAAAAATAAGAATAATTTTTATAGAGATAAGAATATAAAAAATTGTAAAAAAAATTATAACATTATTTACTGTCATCATGATCATCATAAAAAAATATCATATACAAACACATACACAGTTATTAGTATAAAAGAGAGTAAAAGACTAAGCATACATTCCGTTTCATAAATTAACTGACTTAAAATAAACATTCATTCACATTTCTTATTAAAATATTAGATATTATGAGATGTTTTGGCATATCTGTGTAAATTAGAGCTAAAAGAAATTTGATTAAGAAGAAGATTTATGTTCCAAAGGCTCACTTTGAAAAGAATACTTACAACTATGTACATTTCAGATACATAGAAAATAATACAAAATACAATATTTGTATTTATACTCCTTCCAAACTGAAGCCAAGGAATATGTTCTTGTTTACCAAAACCATTCAAAACCAACAACACAAGATGAAAAGATTATAGCACATAAAAAGACAAAAGACTTGGATGGATGTTTAATCTTTTGAGTTGTCCATTAAATTTAAATCTAACAATGATAAGTCAATGAACTATAATATAATAAAACATCTATCAATCGCATAATTGTTTATATAAAAATACTAAAAAGTTGTTAAATAAAAAAATTAAGGATTCGTTTGATTTGCAATCGGAATCAGAACCAGAATCCCTTGATAGTTGAAATCAGAATAGGAATAAAAATTAAAAAAGGAATAAGCAGGAATGAAATTTCATTGGCAAGAGAGTGGCAGGGAACAAGCATTCCGATTCTAATTCCGGACCCTATTCCGCAAACCAAACGGGGGGCGTAAGAAGTTGGAGTCGTATAGGACGAGGAAACAGTCGCCGGGCATTGTTAGGGTAGTATGGCTTGATAATTCCATCTTGTATGCTGAAGACGCCCAAGTCACGACCTCCCAGAAGTGTATTTATATTCAGGCGTGCACCTTCGTCGTCGTCCGTGAAATATATACAATCCTCACTGCACTCCGGCAATTCACGCAGGGATATGGACTCGCTCTCGCCCAAAAACAACACATTGTCTCCTATGTTCTTCACCTGCACCCAACTGGGTTTCGTAGTATTCCCTCCTTGTTCCTCTTCCTCCAATTTGAAAACGTCAAACCCAAGTGTTTTATAAAACCCGTTAAAACTGTCAATCTCCTGATACCTCACGCTCCTCCCCACCAGCAGCAGATACTCCGACGTTTTTATTAAGTATTTCTTCTTGCAAGGCAATCCAACGACTTTTACCGTCGCTACATCTCTTCTCTTGGGGAAGGAGAAGGCGAAATCCCACGATTCAATACTTCCATTTTTACGCACCGCGTAGAACTTCCCCTCGTAGTGGATGATGTCTTCGTAATAATCGCCACCTGGCAAGGAAGTCCATGACTTATCTGTGGCTCTACACAAGACCAAATGACGTTGCAGACCACATATAATTATCACAACGTAGTCATCAGGGTGTTGGGAAGGATTTGAGGAACACAACCACTTTGTGAATAAAGTGGTCGTGCCAAGAGGGAGGGACCCAGATGATTTCCTCATACGGAGCGCCGATTCCTTGAAGAATAGCATACTTGATGGCAGTGCCGGATTTCGATCGGCGAACGTCGCGAATGAATGAAAGCGTCGCCACCGGTGGGAGCCGGATTCGTGGGGTTCCTGGGGAGAAGGGGTTTACGAGATGGGGATCATTGCTTTTGTCTAGGTATGCCAACCAACCGTGGGAAGATCCGATGAAAGCAGTTCGACATAAATCTTTTGGAAATTTCATCTGGTAGACCTTTTAATCTGAGAGGCAAAAGAAATTCCGACTTTGTTTGTCGCATCCGAGGAGCAGAAGCAGAGGTGGTGACCGGCCCGGGGGAGGATAAAGAGAGTACCTCATCCCTTGTGCTGCACGTCTCCAGGATCGGCAAACGGCGGAAAAGCGGACATAATCGACTGGCCTCCGGATAAGAACTAAGAGGTCTTGCGGAATTCTAGACCAGTCTTCGGTCATGGGAGCAAAGGGAGACGGAGTAGGTTCTAAGAGTAATGGCGCTGAGGTTGATGGTTGGGAGGAGAAAAGGTAGAAACTTTGAATTATTTATAAGTGTTTTTCTATCATATTCTTATAATCACTTTTACAAAAGCATTTTTATAAAAGTAATTTTATGAAATGTAGTATTTTTATAAAAGCACTTTTATAAAAGTAATTTTATGAAATATACTTTTACGAAATCATTTTTACAAAAGTACTTTTTTGAAAGCACTTTTATAGTAGTTTTATGGAAACACTTTAATAAAAGCATTTTTACAAAAGTACTTTTATGAAAGCACTTCTGTAAAAGTACTTTTGAAAAAGCACTTTCACAAAAGAACTTTTATGGAAGTACTTTTATAGAAGTAATTTTATGGAAGTACTTTTATGAAAACACTTTTATGGAAGTACTTTTATAAAAACACTTATGAAAGTACTTTTATAAAATCAATTTTACAAAAGCACTCTTATGAACAAAGTGCTTTCATAAAAGAACTTCCACGAAAGTACTTTTACGAAAGCATTTTTACAAAAGCATTTTCATAAAAGCACTTCTATGAAAATTTGAATTATTTATAAGTGTTTTTCCATCATAATTCATAAACACAACTGAACTTGAAAAGGAAACTAGAGTCCGAAAATAAGAAAGAGACCGGAGGTCTTGATGACTCTTTTAAGTCTTTAGTTCTAAAACAGGAAGGAATTAGAGGAGAATCTGGAAACCCAATCCAGAGTCCAGAGTATCCAGTCATCCTTGATGTGCTTGGAATTTCGACGTCATCCCGTTGGAAACTGGTATAGGCTAGCTAGTTGATCAAAGGATCATCCATAATGTCTATAGGCCATCGGTTGCCTACAAGCTAAGATACATAGCTCTCCTCCACAAAGAATTTGTACTTGTTTCAAATTGCACCTCCCCAAAATAAGTTAAATATGCATCTCAACATAACACGCCTCTAACAAATTTAGTCACATGTTTATTTTTTCACTCAGCAACTCCATTTTGTCGAGCAATATAACGAATTATTTCTCTCTAAGTGTGGCCGTTTTTCTGAAAAATGGTACCACGTCATATCTATATAGGTTGGCGTTTGAACAAACGTCTACATATATGTATCGTGTTTGGAAGTGTGGACGCTTTTTGGGACCGATTTTCAAGAAAAAACGTCCATGCTTCGAAGATCTGTTTTTCACAAAAAAATGCTTCTGCCACATAAGTAGTGAGCAACACTATGTTGTTTGATAAGGTGATTTTCATCACCGCTTTTCAGGTATGTGCTGACAGGTAAGCACCATATAGGATACACATCAGTCAACCGTTGGCGTTTCATCACCGTTTCATGCATCGATGGGGTCCCGATTTTTTAATAATCAGCTGAACCAAACAATGAGATACATGGGCATTTGTTGAAATGCCTATGTGTATCCGACGTGACACCGTTTTTTTGAAAAATGACCATAGTTCCAAACATCCCCATGATTGTTTGGTCAAAAAACGCTGAAAATGGGCATGCCTCGTAAATCAAGACTCCACCAGTTCATGAAACGTTAAATTTGGCGTTTCATGCACCGGTGAACCGTTGCCCTCAACGGTTGACTGATTGGCGATTACGTGTATCCTATGTGGCGCTTACCTGTCAGTACATACATGAAAAATGGTGATAAAAATCACCTTACCAAACAGCATAGTGTTTTTCACTGCCTACATGGCAGAAACACCCAAACATATCAAGGCATTTTTTTGTGAAAAACGAGTCTAGCAAGCATGGGCATTTTTTTTAATCGGTCCCAAAAAATGCCCTTGCTTCCAAACACCATCCTATTAATTAAGCACATGCGTTGCACATAAGAAATTTTTCTTCATATTAATTACTTGAATTTTAGATATATCATAGTTAAGATAGAAATTGAAAATTAACAAAAAGTAACAATATGATTAAAAATAAACTTAAATGCTTGTACCAAATAACAATTATTATTATTATTATTATTGAATTTTGTGTTCCATTTCTATAATAAATAAAATAACTTTTATTTTAACAATTATTTTTATTTAATATGATGAATATATAACATTAGAAATGTTCTCAAATGTTTTTGACAAAATTTTGTACATTTTCCTTTTTGGTGTTGTATATTTTTTTAAATATTTATTATTCAATTATGGCATCATGGGATTCTTAGAAAAGTTGGATCATTGACCCACCATCTATATAAGAAAATAACTTTGATTTTATGTTAGTTTTAAATTAGGAAAAATTATAGTCAGAACCACCTGTACATTTAAAATTAGGCTACACGTTAGTCCATAAATCAACAAAACTCTGACAACCGGCTCTACACTTCAAATTATAAAAACCCCTGCCATGTCATTGGAGGCTTATGTGGCTATTGCCAATATGGGACTTAATCCATGTTGGACACAACAAAAAGCTTATATTGAAATTGTCCTTTAATGGTTTTTAGTTTCTCTCCTGGTCTCTCTCTCAGTCGTCTCTCTCTACTCAACGAATGTGTGATTTGAAAATAAATAAAATTGGTTTTTGATTTCTTTATTTACGTTCGCTCTATAAAAAATCATTACACCAATTTAATAAAAGTTCACAAGAAACTCTTGACTATGAAATTTACACCAATTTGATAGAAATTTATAACTTATTGTATAAGTGGTTGGCCCCTTTAGTTCTTTTATATGGTTTGATTAATATTATAAACGTTTGTAAGAGAAATAAAAAATGAATGAGAGAGGTAGCGGGAGAAAGACTGAGGGAGAATGAGATGTTAATCAAGAGGGAGAGTGAGGAAGAAGAATGTGAGAGAGAGAGAGAGAGAGAATGGAAGAGAAAATGAGGTTTTGATTTGGATACATACCAAAGCTAAGAGAATGGGAGATCAGGAGATGATTGCGAGAGTGAGGGAGAAGGGAGGGAGTTTGAGAGATAGAGTAGAGGGAGCGGGAGAGAAATTGTAAACCTATTTTCATTATTGGCATTGTTTGTGTCCAACATGGATTAAGAGTCCCATGTTGTCAACAGACACATAAGCCTTTGATGACATGGCAAGGGTTTTTGTAATTTGAAATGTAGATTCAAGAGATAGAGTAGAGGGAGCAGGAGAGAAACTGTAAACCTATTTTCGTTATAGGCATTTTTTGTGTCCAACATGGATTAAGAGTCTCATGTTGTCAACAGACACATAAGCCTTTGATGACATGGCAGTGGTCAGAGTTTCGTTGGTTTCTAGGCCAACCTACAACCTAATTTTAAATGTATAACCGACTTTGATTATAATTTTTCCTTTAAATTATATATTTTATTTACATTATATAAATAATTTTTACTTATCATACTTAATTTTTGTTTGTCTATGATATCATTTGACTCAAACCACTAACCCACCACCCAAAAAGAAAAATAGTTTGATTTCTAGGTTGGAATTAAATTTTGTATTATATTTCTATCATTGAAATTTTTTTTCTTATGTATAATACTTATTTTTGTTCAATATAATGAATTTGTAATATTAGAAATGTATCCAATATTTTTTTTATAAATATATAATATTAGATATGTGCCCAAAATTTTCTCTACCTTTTTTATTTTTGTGATTCTTTGTATTTTCTATTTTTTAAAATTTTATTATTTGACTATGACATCATTTCATTTATAGGTAGATTTTAAATTTGACATTCATTTTTCATCTTTAATAAAAATATTTCTTACATTTCATACTTATTTATTTTAAAATTTTTATTATTTAATTATGGAATGATTTATTAATCCATTTGACCCCAAATGATCAAATTGCTTGCCCACCACTAGGAGGGAATAAAATGGTTTTGTTTTCAAATTACTTTTCAAAATATTTATTTTTATACTATTAAATTAATATTGTGAATTTATTTACATGAATTTAATGATGAGAAAAATATATCTTAAATATAGGATTTAATGAGAAAGAATAGGAAAACATTTTTATTTCCATTTGATTTTCAATTTTACATTCAATTTCCATCATTAATAAAAATATTTCTTATTTATCATACTTATTATTGTTTAATATGTATGTTAAAAATGTTGCCAATTTTTTTTAATTTCTATTTTTTTTATTTTATATATTTTTCATTTTATTATTTAATCGTGGCAACATGGATTAACCCATTTGACTCAGAATTGTTTAATTTCTTACCTCCACATAGATGAATACTCTATTTTTTTAAGTAGATTAAGTATAAGCTTTTATGTTATTGGAATTATTAATTATTAAGTATGGATTTAATTAATAGAACTTAATAATAAGAAGAAACAAAAATAACTTAAATATAAGATTCATTGAACAAGAACGCAAGTTAAAAAATTAAATATTGGATTTATTGAGAGAGAATTAAATGCATTGAATATCATAAAATTACTCTTTTCAACTCATTTAATATCAAAACGATTACCCTATTTGCCCTCACTTTTTATCAATAAATTTATATGTAGAGGGGTAAATTTTGTCCTCAAGAAAATTCCAGAAATATTCGTGAGGTCATTCGTTCTTTTTAAAGTAG